TGTACGCGGCGCTAAGGCGAGAGCCACATTTTGCAAACGGGCCGCCCTCAATCCGTAAAGCTCTTGCGATTTAAAAACTCAGGTGCTTGGCGCTAAGGCGAGAGCCACATTTTGAAAAATGCCCGCCCTCAATACGTGAAACTTCTGCCAATGCTCAAGCTTCAGGGTTATAAATGGTGAAGAAGTCTCAGGCGAAACACCCGGCCCGCCCTAAAATCTGGCTTCAGGGTGCGACAGGGAGAAGTTTCATTCTAAGGAAAGGAAGTGGAGGAGGATGAGGATAATGAGGAGAAGGAACAGGAGGAGTGCCTGCGGCTCCGCCTGCACGGACCTCCAGAGGAGGGAGGAGGGAGGTGAAGGAGGAGGAGGAGGAGGCACTGATGCCTCTGCGCGTCGGTCGTTCTGGCTGTTTCTTCGGGGGTTCCTGGGAGCCCTCGTCGTCACGGCCGGATACGTATTTGCTTAGAAATTTCTCGGCCAGACGGCAGCCCAAGAGAGCTCCTCCTCCTCCTTCTCCTCCTCCTCCTCCGCCTCCTCCTCCCCCTTGGAGCAGCAGAATTGGTATCTTCTTGTTCCCTCAGGCCTGTCAGGCCCCCGCCTCCGCTCCGCAAAGTGCCCCCCGCCCCGACGGGTATGGCAAAGCTGAGAAAGCAGGCGGCCCCGGGGCGAATCGGCCACGGAGTCTGCCTCCTCCGCCCATCGGCTTCGCGTGAGAGTGGCCTTCGCCGGAATGGCCGAATGGCCTTGTGCCTCCAGCACCGGCCTGAAGCGGCTTACTCCCTTGAGCTTGCCCCCCCCCCAAAGCCCCGCACAACAGGCCACTCTTTCCTAGGGTCGCTCTTACGTGTAGCCGAGTCCTTTCATTCGAAGTCTGCCTCCGCGCGCCGCAGGACAGCGCGGATGCCGGCCTCAGCCCCGACAGGCAGGCGCAGCTGGCGCTGTTCCAGGAGGCTTTCCCGCCGCTCCAAGGCAGGAGGGGTGGAGGAGGGTGGGTCAGTGGAGCCAAAGCGGTCATGATAATGATATCTTCCCTGATTGCCAAGGTTTCCAACATTTCCAAGATTGCCTAGTGTTTCGCACGGGCTCCAGAAACGAGGGCCGCTAGACGTCCTGGAAATCCTGGAACGTATTCTCAGCTAGTACCTGTTATCATGACATCATGCTTGTCCGAAGGGGGGACGAAGAGGGCGACGGAGGAGCAGCAGGAGGAGGGAGGGTTGAAGAGGAGCAGAAGCAGCAGGAGCAGCAGGAGGAGGGCGAAGACCGGGAGACGTGTGGGGGAGGGGTAGAGGAGAACGGGGAGGAGGTGGAGGGAGGACGGGGGATGACGGGAGAGACGTGCCCCCATCGCGCCCGCGCGCACGATTCTGCCGTGCAGGTCCTCGGCAGCCAGGGGGGAGGACCATTGCCGCCACAGGTGGGCTTTGCGACAACCGCGCTGTCGGGATGTGGCGTCCAGTGTCGGGTCTTGGAGCGTGCCTTGCCGCGTCGGCCAGGAAGGCCTCGGGGCAGGTCTCGAACGGATGGCGGCCAGCAGAAGATCTCGATGGACAGATTGCCCCTCCGCTTGCGCCGACGCGTGGGCCACAGCCAGCGCAATCAGCTCTTCCATGCGAAAACTCTGGCGCGGGGGCTTCTTCATCACCACAAGCCGGGGAATCGATCTTGGCGGGCCCAGGCAGGTGGCAGATGTGAATCTTTTCTGGCCCTGGAGGGGCCAAGCATATCCATATCCACCGCCTGCCCAGGTCCCCGAAGATCGTTCCCCCCAGCGGTGGTTTGGTAAATCCCCGCCTCGCAGAAGACGCAGGAAACATGGCAATTGGAGAGGGAATTCCGAACAGGCCAGAGCACGCGGCGCCGCTCAGGGCTTCGGGCTAGGATCGGGCCCCGTGGCGGCCAGCAGAATCCCCAACGGCCTCGAGGCAAGGGCACGTGGCCACCTCAGCGGCTGCAGGCAAGGCACCGATAGAAGGGCCAACGTGGGCTCAGGAGGAGCTCCGGTATTCGGGGCGCTCCTCAGAGGCAGGCCGGGGGTTTTTGCTCGAAGCCGAGGCCGCCACGTGCAGGGAAGCTCCTCCGCTCCTGCTTCAGAGCTCCTCGTGGTAGCAAGATGGCCGTAGCAGCGGCCAGGGGAACCCATAACGACCCCAGGGGGCCAAGTGTCCACCTCGGGACCAGTCGGGGCCGGCGTGGTCCAGGGGAGTCCCGAGCCCGAGGGCGCAATCGGTCACCAGGCGTCGGACGGGGCCAGTGGCGGCCGATGGGATGCCCAGCGCGCCCAGGACCCCGTCAGACCAGAGAAAACCATCAGTGGATGGTTCGAAAGGTTCGAAAGTTAGTGATATGGATATTGAGATTTACTGTGAGATCGATGGTGAGATCGATAGTTGAATCGATAGTGAGGACGATAGTAGGTCGATCGTGTGACCGCAGGTGACGTCGATTCAGTGTGATCGATCGTGGGATCGCTCGTGCGATCTATGGTGAGATCGATGGTGAGATCGATAATAAGATCGATTGTGAGATCTATAGTGGGATCGATAGTGACCTGGGTCATGAGATCGATGGTGAGACCAATCGATCAGGAGATCGACCAGGAACTCAGAAACCCGGAAACCCCGCCGCCCACCGAGATCGGCCCGGAACCAGCAACCTGGAGTCCGGGAACCCGGGACCAGGAACCCGGTAACCCGGCCGCCCAACGAATTTGGCCGGGAACTTTCGCCAAATATTTCAACATCCGCTAGGACCCCTTCAGTGCAAGCACTGATTGGGGAATTTCGGGGATCAAGCTTGCCTGAGATGGCTCGTGCAGCTTGCTCTCGGACATTTGGGGGAGCTGACGCGGTGCGAGTGGCCCTCGAAGCATGTGCTGGAGCGTCGCGTGGGGGGGCGCGATGCGCGAAGTTCCCGTCGACCTACGGTCGGGAACTTCTGGATAGCGCGTCGCTCCGCCGGTTCTGGCCCACCATGCTTCGGCGCGACACGCTAAATTCATGTCTTGGTCCCCGAGCGTCCACCTTCCGAGCTGCTCCTGGCCTTCCGCCCGCAGAGCGGAGCGACACGCTGTCCGCTCGCATGGCGTAGCGTGCCGCCGCGGCCGCCGCCGCGACACGCTATCCAAAAACTCCTGACCTCTAGAGAGCTCCCCTCCTGATCGGTTCCCGTGGGCACCTTGGCTCCTAGCGGGCGCTGGCGCCAGGGGGCAGGGCGCGTAGCGTCAAGTCGGGCATGTCCCTCTGCAGGAGGAGCATTCGAGATCAGCTGTAAAATAGTCCGGCGACGACTTGTCGTGCTCTTCTGACCATCTTTTAAGGTGAGATTCGCAATGTGTATGTTTTTCTTCCAAGCTCCGCCTGTAGGAGGACATGCCCGACCGAAGCGTAGCCCGCGCGGCGCGGCCCGCCCGCCGCGCGGCCCCGCGGCGGTCCGGATCCACCGGACGACGCGGGCGCGGCGGCGGCACGCCGCGCCGCCCGAATTCGCAGGGGCGCGGGCCCGTGGCGGCAGCCCGCCACGTGCAGGGGCCACGCCATGCGGCGCGGCCCCCCGGGGAGGCAAGGGTACCTCGGGGGTGGACAGAGCCCCCAACAGTGACACGTCGATTCGTGAATTGTCCGTCTTCGGTTCTCGAGGGGGCGCCGTGGCCGTTATCTTCCCAGGCTTGCGCCCGCCAGGTTTGGGCCTCAGGTCGGTTTCACTGAACCGCGTTTTACTAAAGGGGGGTCTGTCCATCCCGGGTACCGATTCGAGCAGGGCATCGACTGCAGGAGTGACTCACCCCGAGGTCAGGTTTCCCCCTCGAGTCTGCGACGAATGTTTGTTCCGTAGGTTCGGCGCGAAACTGGATTTCGGGGCAAGTCCATTCTGTAGTCGATACCTTACTCGACTGATAATACCGCTGCCTCTCCCTCGTCTTCGCCTTCTTCGGCCTCCGGGGAGGCCTTCGTCGCCACGGCTGGATTCGCTTCGGAACCCCGGTCAGAAGGCACCCTGGGAGAGGTCCATGGAGCAGCGGTATTGGTACGTTTCGGCCCACCCAGGTCCGCACACTCCGCCGCTGAAGAGGAGGAAGTGCGCCTCGCCGCCCCCAGCGCGGCTCGAGAAGTGCGTCATCTGCCTCTCGCTGCGGAGGTGCGCCCACGTAAGGCGGCACGAGATGCGGGGGGGCTCGCAGCTGTGCGGCAGCCACGCGATCTGCGTGCCGTGCAGCGACCAGATGGTGCAGAAGTTCCAGCCTGGCGCAGGGGCTGGCAACGGGCAGTTTCTGTGCCCGGTCTGTCTGGCCCCGCTCGGCCCTCGCCGGCGTGCCCTGGACGAGGGCACAGAGGCGATGCGGTGGAGCGTGGCACCAGAGACTCCCAGAGAGGATCGGGTATAGGGACAGCTGGGTACGGAATCTAGTGCATGCAGCTGGTTTCGGCCTGCCGCATGGCGCTTTCCTCGATGCATGGTCGCCTTCGGCGCTCGGAGGCGCCGGTAAGACCAGCTGCATGGGCTGATTCGCTGACCCCCATCACTTACTACCCCCATCTTGTCTGACCCGAGAGGAGTGGCCAGTTGTCGCAGAGCACGCGACGCAGGCTGCTCTGCGCGACCGGGACAAGGAGAAGCTGCGGCGCCTCTGGGGGGAGCTGTCCTCGCAGGAAGGGCAAGCCGTCGCCCAGTGCGCGGGCGCCGCGTCCGCCACCCTCGGCACCAAGGAGGCCAGCCACGAGGGGAGCGGTGGCAAGGCTGCTGGCGGCTGCGCTTCGGCCCGAGACAGTGCCGACGGCCATGCCTCTGCGCGCCCGAGCGCCGGGCCTGCGCCAGCGTTGGACGCGGCGGCGGCGGCAGGCACCGCCTCGGCCCGAGGCAGTGCCGACGGCCATGCCTCTGCGCGCCCGAGCGCCGTGCCTGCGCCAGCGTTGGCCGCGGCGGCGGCGGCAGACAGCGCCAGTGGCAGTCACAAGAGCGTTGCCAGCCAATCGCGAGGAGGAATTGTCGGCTTCGTGGAGATGCTGGTGGGCAGGGCGCCGCGGGCGCAAGAGTTGCGCGGCTCGCTGGGAGAGACGCTTGCCCATCAGCGGCCGCAGGCGGCAGCAGCGGGAGATGGCCAGGCCGCGGCCGAGCCATCTCGCGCGGGTGAGACGCGGCCTGCCCATAGGGCGCCAGGGCCGCCCGCCACCTTGGAAGAGCCTCCGGACGCAGCCCTGGAGCGCGCCGTGAGCCCAGCCGGGAGGAAGCGGCCTCGAAAGCCGGCGCGCGGGCCGCCCGTCCAGCGCGCGGCGGACGAGCCACCGCAGGCGCACCCGGCAAGGCCCGTGGCGTCGCCGTGCCGCAGCGCGCCGAGCGACCTGGCGGGGCCATGCGCGGGCGCCAGCCCCGCCGCATTGTGCTTGCCGTCGCTCAGCGCACTGTTCGCCCAGACGATCGCCGTGCCGCGGGCGGCACGGGCGCACGCTGGGCCGCCAGAGGGCCGTCGGGCCCGGCGGGGGCCCGCCGGTGCGCAGCGCGGGGCTGCCGAGGGAGCGTCGGCCAGCACTGCGGCGGAGGCCTGCGGGAGCGCTGCTGCGGCAGCAGGGCACGCAGGCGTGGAGGAGGTGTGGAGCGGGGCCGCGGATGGCGGGGATGAGGCGGAGGAGGCGAGAGGGCAGGAGGAGGGGGAGAAGCAGGAGCTCGGGGCTGCTGCGGAGGCAGGGCGCCGATCCGCGGAAGAGGTGGAGCGTGACGCCGCAGAGGAGGACAAGCGCGAGGCTGCACAGCAAGAAGCTGGGCGTAAGGCTGCGGAGGCAGCGAAGCGGAAGGCCGCTCTTGAGGCGGAGCGCAAGGCTGCGGAGGAGGCCTTGCGCAAGGCTACAGAAGACGCGTGGCGCAGCGCCGCGGTGGAGGCACGGCGCAAGGCTACAGAGGAGGAGAAGCGCGCCGCCATGGCCGTGGAGGCAGCGAAGCGGAAGACCGCCCTTCAGGCGGAGCGCAGGGCCGAGGAGGAGGCAGGGCGTAAGGCTGCTCTTGAGGCGGAGCGCAAGGCTGCGGAGGAGGCGAGCCGGATGGCCGCGAAGGAGGCGCAGCGCAAGGCGGCACATGAGGAGGCCGAGCGGAGGGCGGCAGAGGAGGCAGGGCGTCAAGCTGCTCTTGAGGCGGAGCGCCGAGCTGCGGAGGAACAACAGCGCAGAGTCGCTCAAGCGGCGAGCCGTAGGGCGGCGAGGGAGGCTCAGCGCAAGGCGGAAGAGGAGGAGGAGGAGGAGGAGGAGGAGGAAAAGGAGGGGGCGCAGCCCAAGGCAGCAGAAGAGGAGAAGGATGAAGCAGGGCGTAAGGCTGCTCTTGAAGCGGAGCGCCGGGCTGCGGAGGAACAACAGCGCAGAGTCGCTCAAGAGGCGAGTCGTAGTGCCGCGAAGCAGACGCAGCGCAAGGAGGCAGAGCAGGAGGAGGAGGAGGAGAAGGAGGAGGAGGAGGAGGAGGAGGAGGAGAAGGCGCAGCGCAAGGCGGCAGAGGAGGAGGAGGAGGAGGAGGAGGAGGAGGAGGAGGAGGCGGAGGAGGAGGAGGAGGCCGAGCGCAGGGCTGCGGAGGAGGCAGGGCGTAAGGCCGCTCTGGAAGCGGAGCGCCGAGCTGCAGAGGAGGAGCGACGCAGGGTCGCTCAGGAGGCGAGCCGGATGGCCGCGAAGGCGGCGCAGCGCAAGGCGGCGGAGGAGGAGGCTGACCGCAGGGGTGCAGAGGAGGCAGGGCGCAAGGTTGCTCTTGAGGCGGAGCGCATGGCTGCGGAGGAGGCACGGCGCAGGGTTGCTCGGGAGGCGAGCCGGAGAACCGCACAAGAGGCAACGCGTAAGTCCGCAGAGGAGGAGAAGCGCAGGGCTGCCCAGAGGGAGAAGGCGGAGGCAGAGCGTCAAGTTGCAGAGGAGGCAGACCCTGTGGCTACTCTTGAGGCGAAGTTGAGTGCCGCGGAGGAGGCAACGCGCAGGGCCGCCGTGGAAGCAGCTGAGCGCAGGGCTGCAAATGACGAGATGCAGGTTATGGAGGGGGCACAACAGTGGGCAGTCAGCACTGCCAGTCAACCACGAGTTCTAGATGCCAGAACCTTTCGCCAATGCGCAATGTGTGTGTGGCGCGTTCCACACATCGCCTCGTCTTCGGCGCGTCTGCGCCCTCGGCGACAGGGGGCGGAAGGCCAGCGGAAGCTGGCGGAAGTGAAACAGCGGCGGGTCCGCTGGCGGGAGGCCTGTGGGAGGCCGGCGGAAGGCGGCGGAAGTAGAGGCGAGGCGTCAACGTGTTTGGGCCTTAGGAGTTTCCAGAGTCGGCCATCTAGGGGCCTCTGGGCCTCTGCTTTCTCCAGCCACCGTGTCTGGGCGGCCCGCAGCGGGTCTCCGATGAGCCTCGGGAGGTCCCCAGTTGGCCTTGGGGGGGAGGCCTCCGGGAGCGCGTGAGGTCGCCGTGGGCTGGGAAAGCCTTGGGGGGACCTGGTCTGGCGCACCAGCGCACTCTCTGAGGCCAAACTTGTTGAAGCACCTGGTGACTCAAGTGGCTTGCGCCATTCTGCCGGCCCTTGAAGGGTGGACGAGGCCAGTGGGGTCCGAGGTGCACGGTCTGCCTGAGCAGGAGGAGGCGCAGGAGGACGACGAACAGCGAGGCGATATCCCAGTGAGGTTGTGAGGCAAGGGGGCGGGGCAATTATTTGGACGTGCAAAGCGGGAGTCGCGATGGGCCCACAAGGGAGGTATCAGCGTGCACATCTCCCAATGACTGAACTGAGCGTTGGATAAGCCAACGCGCAAGTCGTCACGACACGAATTTGCCGCATTCATGTTGAAGTGTAGTTCTAGGTGCCGTGGTGAGTTCTAGATGCTGTGGTGAGAGCTCTGGTGCTCTGGTGTGGCCACTTATCGGGCTTCAGCCCTTTGACGCAGCGGAAGGCCGTTGATTTCGGCATCCGCTGAAACTTGCGGGAACAGGAGACAGGGGAGCGAGCAGGGGGACGAAGAAGGAAAGAGGAGGAAGAGGAAGAGGTTCTGGAAGCCACAGCTAGCTGTTGCTAGAGTCTGAGCAACCGAAGGAGAGGAGTAGGCATTGCATGTCGGCGTACACGTGTCTGTGCCGCCCTGCGTCGTGCACGCGGCCTCCATGTTGTCAAGATGCGTTATGGACTCTGTCCTTTCTTCCCCTTCCTCGTCCTTAAGGCATGCGGATACCCACTGCACGGACGTTGCCGCGCTTCTCTTTCCCACCCCCGCCCCAACACCCGTGACTTTCCCTGGGCGCGGGGGACGGCCTGTTCCCACAAACCACTTCTGAACATAGGCGCCCGAGTGAGCTGTCTTGGGCGTCCGTCGCGGCCTTTTGGGGGGCAGTCTTTGGGCTCTCTTGGGGCCTTCTTGGGGTTGTCTTCGGGCCGCTTGTGAAAGTGCGTGGGCCAGTTTGGGGCCGCCATGGGGCCCTCCTGAGCAGGCACTGATGCGGCAATCGTGTGCAGACAAGAAAGCCATACATGCGTGTATGTATATGTATTGTGTCTAAATGTGTGTTAGGTTTACACACAGACGTAGACATGCATACACACATACATGTTGGACTTATTTTGGCGGTCTGGGGCCTTGGGACCTTCTGGCGGCCTCGGAGGGCCCCCCTGGGCCATGTTGGAGCCTGGGGGCCTCCATGCGCTCCTTGGGGCTTCCTGCGCCCCCCTTCTGCCAAGTCGCGAAAATCCCCCCTTCCCTTCCGCGGGGAGGGGTTGGGGAGGGGCATGCGTTTCCCACGCCAGAGCCCAATCTCAGCGGCGCGGCCGGGGAGGAAGGAGGAGGGGGCCGGCCTTCTCAGAAGTTGGCGAGGCTTTGGAGCAGCCCCACCGCCTTCTGAGAAGGACGGCCCCCTCTGCCTTCCTACACAGGCCCGCTGCCGACAATCGATCGGTGAATTTCTTTGGGGCACCTCGGGTGCTTTCAAGAGCCCAGTTTCCATGGTTGTCAGGCCGCAAAGGCTCGGCGAGGCGCCGTGGAGGAGGAGGCCGATCGCAGGGCTGGTGGTGACGCTGCTGCTGCTGGAGAGGAGAGGGAGGATGGGTGCAGAGTGGCAGGCGATGCCGAGCAGGCTGCGGAGGAGGTCGAGCGCAGGGATGCGGAGGAGGTCGAACGCAGGCTTGCGCAGGAGGGAGTCCTGGAAGCGGCCGGGCACAGTGCAGCGGAGGAGGCGGAGCGGCGGGCGGAGCGAAGGAGTGCGGAGGAAGAGCGCCGCAGGGCCGTTCTGGAGGCGCTGCGCAGGGCTGCGCAGCAGGCGCAGCGGTCCGCGGAGGAGGCGGAGCGGGCCGCGGAGGAGGCGGAGCGCAGGGCCGCAGAGCAGGCGCAGCGCAAGGCCGCGAAGAAGGCCGAGCGTGAGGTCGTGGAGGCAGCTCGGCGCACGGCGGCGGAGGAAGCGGGGCAGAGGGCAGCAGAGCGGGCTCGGAAGGCTGCAGGGGAAGCGCGGCGCAAGGCAGCGGAGGAGGCCGAGCGCAGAGCCGCGGCAGACGAGCGCAGAGCCGCAAAGGAGGCACTGCACAAGGCCGCCCAGCAGGCCGAGCGCAGGGCCGCAGAGGAGAAACACAAGGAGGAGCGGGCGGCAGCGGAGGACGCGCGGCACAGGGCTGCGGAAGAGGCGGGGCGCAGGGCCGAGGAGGCCTGCCAGCGGGCCACCGAGGAAGCACGGCGGCAGGCCGCAGAGGTGGCGCGGCACGGCACGGTGGAGCAGTCAGGTCTCGAGGCCGTCGGGAGTGCCGAGCGCGGGGCTGGGCAGAGAGGCGCCGAGGAGGCGACCGAGCCCAGGGGCGCCTGGGGGGAGGCGCGCGCTGCCCCGCGGGAGGTCGCGCTCATCTCGCGCATCCGGGAGCGCCAGCGCGCGGCCGCGACGCCGCCCGCAGCGGCGGCAAGGCGCAGCCGCTCGCCTCGCCCGCTGGGCAGCGGGATGGCGCCCCCGGCCGCCACGACGCCCGCCAGGCGCATCGCAGAGCTGGAGAGGGAGGTGGCGCTCTGGCGGTCCAGGGCGCGGACGGCGGGCCCCTGCGCGGTCCCGGCACCTTGGGGCGGCAGGGCGCTGAGCGTGTCGGCCTCGGCAGCCACGGCGCAGTGTCTTGCCATTGCCCCTGGGGCCACAGACAAAGCAGTGTCCTCCGAGGAGGTCGTCCAGCGCTCGTCGCCCCAGGCGGCCGCCTCGACCCCGGCAGCCGCAGCCACGGCCCGGGGGCCCGCCACGCGGCTGTCCACCGTGAGGGACGAGACCGAGCAGGCGGCGCAGGCAGAGCGGCCTATCCGCGTCAGCCCGCAACCCTCATTGGCTGGAGCGGCCGAAGGCTTGACATCGCCCCCTGCAGCGGCCTGCAAGTCGGCGCTAGCAGCGGTGCTGTCGCCTCTTGCCATCGGGGTGGGCAAAGGGACCCTGACCACGCAGGCCTCACCCGACACCCCGGAAGCCGGAGCCACGGCCACGGCTGAAGGGCCAGCCGTAGACCCCAGAGTGCCAGACAGAGTCGACGTGGCGCAGCCCTCGCCCGCTGGCCTGGACGTCGAATTCGCGGCCGAGGCTGAAGCCTTGGGTGAGGTTGCCGGAGTGGCAGACGGACTCGAGATCGGGCAGACCTCGCCCGCTGGCCTGGACGCGGAAGCTGCCACCACGGCTGAAGCACAAACCGCGGCCGACCAGGTGGCGGACGCACCTGGGCAGGCCCCGCACGCAGCCCCGGACGTCGTGCAGGCCTCGGGCCTGGCCGAGGCCCCCGCCGCTGCCGCTCCCCGGGCCACGGGCCGAGCCGAGGCGGGCCAGCCCTCGCCCGCTGCCCGGGCCAGCACCGCCTTGGCCGTTCCCGCCCTGGCCGGCGCGGCCGGGGCTCGGCGGGCGGCCCCCCGTGCCGCCGCCGCGGGCGGCGCGGGCAGGCCTCCGCGGGCGACTGCGCCGAGCAGGGGCGCGCGTCGCCGCCCCGCGGCCTCGGCCGGCTCGCAGCCCGTCCTCCACCCGCCAGGCAGCCCCGCGTACGAGTCCACCGTGATCACCACGCTGTGGCTGCTGCACCAGGCCTACTTCTCCCCGCGTTGAGGCGCGCGCACGCGCGAGGGCCCGAGACTCGCCGACGCCCCCGTGGAATTCGCCCACTCGCATGACCGACTAATAAGAATGATAATCATAATGATACGAGTAAGGAGCATAATACTACTACTACGAAGAAGAATAATACTAATAAGAATTCTAACACTAAGCATAATATATATATATATATATATATGAGGAGTAACAACCATAATGATGATCATACTAGCAAGAACCGTAGTAATAAGAATACTAATAAGAAGAAGGGGGGCATGCTACGGTCGGCTTCCACCAGCAGGACATCGGGTCTGTCCTCATCTTCCTGACGCTCTTGCCTTCTCCTCTTGGCACTCCCCCCCTCCAAGCAGAGTGTTGCATGGCAAGGTGGGAAGGTGATGGAGCATTGGGAAATGGTGTCAGTCAGGCGGGGTCGTAACTCGAGGATCGACCGAGGGCGGGTGGAGCATGTGACTGGTCGATTGTACGTGCCCGAACTGGTACCCGCCTGGATCAGCTGGACTTGATGGGGGCGGGCGGGCAGGCTGCCAGATGCATGCCATAACGACGGTCAGAGTGCGCGGTGGGAGGCAAGGTAGCAAGCTTGAGCGCGGGGAAGAGTAATGACGAGGAGGCGGAGGGTGAGCAGAAGGAGGGTGGAAGTGATGAGAAGAGTGATGAGGAGGACGGTTAAGGCCGAATGAGCCAATGCGTAATTGCACAATCCCGCGGCGGGGATTCATGCATAACAAAACCGCCTGGCGGGGATCGATATTCGGGGGTCTCGGCAGGCGTAGGACATTGATGTACCTGGCCCCAGGGGGGCCCGAAGCTGTCCACATCCAACGCCTGCCGAGGTCCCCGAAGGTCGATCTCCCAGGCGGTTTTTGTAGACAAATCCCCGCCTCGCAGCAAAGGGACAGGAACGTGGTGAGCCGTGGAGAGCGTTGTGGTGATGCTGCGGAGGCTGCGGCGGCGAAATGCGGAGAGCGGCGACAGCAGCAGCATGGGTGTGCGCCGAGGTTACCGCAGAGACTCGAACTCTCGACAGCGCCGCACAGCTCCTTCGGTCATGCTTCACCCATCTCTGCCGTCCTGCTCTCGCTGCGCGTATGTCAGAGGAGGGGGAGGTAGCGATACCGGAACCCCTGCCTCGGTTTCACCTTTCTGGGCCTCCTGGGAGGCTCTCGTCGATGGAGCTGGACTCGCCTCGAAATTTGGTCAGAACGCATCCTGGGAGAGGTCTGGGGAGTATCGGTATCGGTGTCGCTTGGTTTCCCAGGAGGACAGCGCACCGTTTGGATTTACTTTTGGGTTGGCGCCCAAGCCCCGCGCGCAGTCCGGGCATGCCAGGGAACCCAGGGGCCTGGCATGAGAGCGTTGGCGAGTCGACCCCCCACGGACCATGGACCAGTGTGCCCGGAAGTGTTGAGCCAGCACGTGTATCCGCGAGGCGTTTGTGTACCTTCGAATGCGTGATCACGCATTGGCTCGAGCCCACGCTCCCGTGGGGAAGATGGTGAATTTACGAATACTTGTTCGGTGCAACAGTGCTCATGCTCCAGACGTGGAAAAGAGCAACCCGATAATGGCACCGACATGTTCCATGAGGTTGTTTTGGGGGGGCCGCGGAGCATGCTGGAATTGAGGAACGGAGTCTGGTCCAAGGAACCCCGGAAGGTTGGCATCGTTTTATCGTTCTATTGACGCTCACTGTCTCTCTCGTGTGCTTCTCCACGGCACTGCTGGCAAGGCCGTGCTCTCACTGATTCGCTGGAAATGCGCTTCTTGCAGAGAATCGTTTGTATGGTACTGCCCAGCCATACTAAACAGTTCCAGCTGTAATCATTCATCGAGCTGAGCACCTGTGGCGTTTGGTTCGACACGTACGTATCTGGCTGCAGTGTTCCAGTTGCTTAAGTCCAGCCGTGTAGTGTTTGCATTTGCAGCGGCTCGCTCGCAAGGCACCGCTTACAAAGGCAAGGGATCGCTTACCTTCAGGAATTGCTTCTCGAGGGTCAGTTTTCAGGACACTGTTTCGAATGAGTAGTGCTGGCTGTTGTTTCCAAAGCTTGAGAGACATACTCCAGCATTCTTCGGATGACATGTTTGAGTTTTCGACAATGTGTGATGCCAGATTGAGCCATTGGTAAGCAGGGTCATCTACACTCGCCGCTGTTTTTCGCATGAAAGACGTGCTGCGCAGTTTGTGCTTCTTCCGCGAGCACGATGCGAAGGCTACTGCGTAGCCCGCATCCTGTTCAGTACTCTGTGGAGTGCGCGTGTTGCATCTGTGGTGCGGGGGCGTGCTATGCAAATCGGTGTTGCGGTTTTGGGCCATCGGCCGACGCTTCGCGTATCATCACTTGCCCATACAGAAGCGATCCCCAGGCGAGTTGTCGTGACCAGGGACGTGTGTAGGCATACAGTGTCACAAAGAGGGGGTGCCGCCGCCGCATCACCTTCACGTTGCCACTGTTTCTTCTGGCAGGTGTGTAGATGAGGCAACGTGTGTGTGTGTGTGTGCGGGTGCGTGCGTGTGTGTGCGTGCGTGCGTGCGTGCGTGTGTGTGTGTGTGTGTGTGCGCGTGAATCACGGCCGCATACCCCGACGACAAATTTCACCTTGGAAGGCAGAAGACTATACACAGCGCATTATATTACGTAACACCCCGCAGTTGCGGATAAGAGTGAGGGGGGTGCGAGGACGTCCTCAGTCTGCGAGGCTCTGGAGAAGCCCGCCGCAGGCGCCTAGCTTTTACACATTATGTATTGGGCCCGCCGCAGGCGCCGATTTTTTCGTTAAAGCATTGTTGGTGAATCGCGGGGTGGGGCGCGGGTGGGTCGTGGGTGGGTTGCGGGTGGGTCGCGCATGGGTCGCGGGTGGGTTGCGGGTGGGTCGCGGGGTGGGTCGCGGGTGGGTCGCGGGTGGGTCGCGGGGTGGGTCGCGGGGTGTGTCGCGGGGTGGGTCGCGGGGTGGGTCGCCGGGTGGGTCGCGTGGTGGGTCGCAGGGTGGGTCGCGGGGTGGGTTGCAGGGTGGGTCGCGCGGTGGGTCGCGGGTGGGTTGCGGGTGGGTTGCGGGTGGGTCGCGCATGGGTCGCGGGTGGGTCGCGGGCTGGGTCGCGGAGTGGGTCAGGGGGTGGGTCGCGGGGTGGGTCGCGGGGTGGGCCGCGGGTGGGTCGCGGGGTGGGTAGCAGGGGGGACGACGGCAACAACAAACAACAACAATGCAACAAGCAGAATCCTCACCACGGATCCCCACTAGAGCCACGCACCCAGGGACAATGAATGACCGTTCGGCCCCCTCATTCTGACAATATATGTACGGGAGCGAGCACTACAGCACGAAATTCCGCACGGGAGACTTGATGGGAGACCATATGGGAGGCCAAATACATATTATTGGAGATCACATGGAGGACCATATAACAGACCAAACAGGAGACGATGCGGAACCACTTACGGGAAACCATGCAGGAGACCGTACGGGAGACCATGTCGGAGACCATATTGGAGGCCATACAACATGCGGGAGGCCGCATGGGAGGCCATATATGATAGCATACGGGAGACCATAAGGGAGGCCATAATGCACACGAGAGCACACTGGAGACAATATGGGAGACCGTACAAGAGACCACACAGGAGAAGATACGGAAGACCTCACGGGTGACAATGCAGAAAGCCATACGGGAGACCATGCGCGAGACCGTGTGGGAGACCGCACAGGAGACCATGAAGGATATCATATTTGACACCGAGATTATGTGCGAGAGACCGTGCGGGAGACGACGAGGTAGAGCATACGGCAGACCACGGGAGACCGTCTCTGGAGACAGCGTAATGATATCATAAGGACCGCACAGGCGACCATGCGAGAGATCATGCGGGCGACCCCGCGGGACACCCTGCGGGAGACCATGCGGGAGATCGCACGGGAGATCACACGGGAGATCATACGGGAACACACTAGATACCATACAGGAGACCATGCGGGAGACCGCAAGACCATGCGGGAGACCACAGATTTCCGATCTCAGACTTTGGGAGCACGCTCCTCTGCTTGCCTTAGACTGCGATTCTTGGGCAGCGTGGGCCCCGATCCGTGTGGTTTGGGTGATTTTTATGTGGTGCCATCTATGTGATGCAGTCCACTTTGACCGTCTTGAAGCTGTCCTCTCCACTGCTCGTGCAAACATCCCACCCACCCACCCGCAACTTGGTTTGCAAAACCTCTCAAGACCGACTACGACGACACCGACGACAACGACTAGGACGACACCGACGACGTTTCCGACGACTTCGACGACGACAACGACGCCGACGACGACGAAGACGACGACGACGACGCCAACGAAGGCGACGACGAGGGAGGAGGAAGGACGACGCCGGCGACAACGACGACAACGACGACAACGACGAGGGAGGAGGGAGGACGGCGACGACGCGAACGACGACGAAGGAGGAAGGACGGCGACGCCGACGACGACAACGACGAGGGAGGAGGGAAGACGACGACGACAACGACGACGACGACGGCGACGAAATAGGAGGGACGACGACGAGACGCCGACGACGGACGACGACGACGATGTGGGAGGAGGAGGACGGACGACCACGGCGACAACGACGACGGAAACGACCACGACGCCAAAGAGGACGACGACAACGAACACGAGAAAAGACAGAGGACGACGTAGGCGACGACGACGACGACGACGACGACGCGGGAGGAGGGAGGACGGCGACGACGACGACGACGCAAGAGCGCGCGCGCACGCTTTTGTTGAAAATCCGTGTTGCGAAACCCTGGGTTGTTGTAGGTTTTTTGGACGCACGATTTGAAATCCTTCCGAAACCGATGGGTTTTGAAGGTTTCCGGCGTACGCCCGCGACGACGCGCGCGTTTGCACTTCGTCCAATTTTTTGCAGAGGATTCTCGCGACGGCACACGCGCAAGTGCGTTCGACAGATTTCGACATGCGCGCGGGAAGCCCTTTTGGTAGCATTTTG